GACTCAAACCTAAATACTACAGGAAACAGGTGAGGGGAATAACTGATTAGGAGACACAGGTGACACACATGAGCTAAATAACCACACGAGGTGGAGAATGACCTAGATCGAAAATAAAACCTGACAGAAAACTAAACATATGAAACAAAAAACCCTGACACCGCGACATCTCCTACGCACATTATGTGCGTGTCACACAAACCAGCACCAACCTAAACTACACAAATACAGGCCACAAGCACATAACACACCAAAACAGCAGAATATATCAGCTGTTTTTTTGTTTGTTTTTTTACAAATCACATTAAAAAAAGACATGAAAGCAAAGCCTACCCATAGAGGATGGACATTCCCAGGTTCAGGTAGTATGTCTGAGACTTCCAGAGGAGGAGAAGGTGAAGCAACAAGGTTTGCTTACATTCTACTCTTTCGGCAAACTTTCTGTTTAACGCTCCCACAGTTTAACACTCAGGAAGAGCGCAACAAATGTCATGGTTGGTCAACCGGGTAACCCGTTAAGTTTGTAAAAAGAACAAAAACTCCGCCATAGCTGCACACACGGTAAAAGCTCAGGCAGGGTTCATCTGATCCCTCTTAGAACTACAGAAAAGTTCAAACTCTGCTTATTCATTTTCAGTTTACAGAAAGAGAGCCAAGGCATCAAATAAACAAAAGTAGACTGATACCATTTAGGACGGACATGAGCTCTCCAACAGACTCATACCGAAGTGGTCTACGTACAGCAACACCATATAAGGGGGAAAGGTTAGGACAATTCCAATGGCCCTTGGCCGACAGGGATCCCCTCACAAAATAGTTTTTTTTTTTTGTTCATAGAAATAGAACAAAATTCTATTTCACAGAAATAGAAAATTCCCTTCACTCACCCTCCCCCCCCTGTGCAGGTACCTGAAATCATCATTCAGTTTAGTTCGATTCATTGTGACAAAATGAAGATACAAACATTATCAGTATCCTTTCATGTCTGGTCTTACCTTCTGAAGTCATTCAGCATTTATTTTCTCATTTCATGATTTAAAAATACATAAAAATGCAGAATTTACTTGCATTTTTCCTATTTTACAGTGGTCAAAAAACCACCAGCTAAATGGGATCCTTTTTCAAATGAATGAGTGAAGAGTTTCTTCTGTTTGCATAGAAAAAAAGGAGTGGCAAGACCAGCTCAGCATGAGACCTATGAGACCAAATGTACTAACTGCATCCAGACATGTTAACCCTTGGTGGAAAGCTGTTTCAATGTCACTTTGAGGAATGTTTTCAGGGAGAGATGCATGGATATCTGACAATGTGTTTCTCGTTCTCTTCACTGTCATTTCTTTTCTTTGAGCGTTTGCTTTCTTTTATTAAAAGCATCTTTAACATGCCTGAATGGGATGGCCCTCCAAAACAGATAAATAACAATGTGTTAAAACTGTGATTACCACTTCAATAATCTGAAGGAGTCTGAAAGCTCCCGTTTATGAAGCACTCATGACGGACCCGTCTCTAGGACCTGGGGCATCCTCTCAGGCCTGGACTGCACTGCGGTCACAGGGGCCAGCATTGGTGAGGTTGCATTTCTCTTCTCTGCTCTAGATTAGAGCCGAGCATCTTCACAACTTTACAGATCACTTGTTGTCTTTAGGGTGACTGTGGCTCTGTGGGTAGTTGTCCTGTGATCAGAAGGTTGACAGTTCGATTCCAGCTTCCTCCTGCCACATGTTGATGTGCCCCTGGGCAAGGGACTTACCCTCAAATTGACAACTGATCTGCGTATCACTGTTTGAGTGCAAATGGGTGAATGTGACTCTAGTGCAGGGGTCCCCAAGCTACGGCCCGCTGGCCGGATCCGGCCCGCCATGTCATTTGTTCCGGCCCCCTGAACAATGCCGGATCTGGCCCGCCTCCTCATACCAGAGAGCATTCAGTGTTCAGTGTTTCATATATTGTAATTTCCGGTTTATATGTGGATTTTTCTTCAACCACCAGGGGGGCTCTTGAGTAGATGTGAAACTAACTTTCCCTCAATGGAATATATACTAGTCAGTCCCAGTCACCGTTTCACTCACGGTTTTTTCCATTTGCATTCTGGGTAAAAATCTATCTAAAAGAGCGAATGTTGATGGTCTTTTCTCAAATTCTCATTTGAGAAAAGATCATAAATCCATTATATTTGGAGATATATTGTCTCCAAATATATCAAAGTCCAAATGCAAACAAAGTGATGAATCAATTAGAGCAGTCATGTTTTAGCAGGGAGGGAGTTAAACTCATGGGAGAGAAGCCTTTGTCCCATCGTCTCTTTGCAGAGTGATGAAGAGCAAGATCACAGCATCCGACCCCCATGATGCATAACCCAGACAAGCTATTGATTGGCTGAGTGTTTGCTTTGATACATCATGTCATTTTTGTTTAGAGAGTGGGTTTGAGGACAGCAGCACTTCCACTGAAAGCCTGCAAACTAAAGCTCTTTGTACTCTGCATGTGCCACTGAGTGTCTGTATGATGATGGATCAGGTTATCTAAGAGGTCCCAGGGCTCAACTGTTGAACGTCATCTTCATCTGGTAATGTGTGACAGGATGTTCATCAAAGTTCTGCCAATTGGCCCAGACCCTGCTTACATCAGCACACATCGGCCTTTACAGTGACTTTATCTCTTTCAGCCATTAAGAGCTGAGCTATAGGCATGAACTGAACCAAAGTGGTTCACTAAAATCATCTGGGGTTCAAACTGAAACTGGTTTTCAGGTGTGGAACCCTTCATCAGATTTCACCTGCTCATGAATAAATAGGAGAAATAAGCTTGGTGACAAAAATAAAAATATTTGCAAACACTGTTAATATGCTGACCCAAAGCTACAACAGAGACAGGAAAGTAGGTAAAGAGAAAAGGGGGAAGACATGCATCAAAAGTCACCAGGCCAGGAATCGAACCTGCAACAGCTGCACTGAGGACTAAGACCTCCTTATGTGGGTTGTGCTCATCCCCTGCACCACCACAGCACCCCGTGTGTGTGGGTGTGTCTCTTTATTTATTAATATAAATTAACTTGATTATCCAAAATTAATCTCAGAATTTTCCATGCTTCCATATTTAGCAAGTTTTAGCAGGATTTGAGAAATACCAGAAATTCAACAATTATAAATTTAGAATGTACACTTAATGGACTCAACAGTATAAGGATCGACAATCTACCCACAAGACAGAGGAAAAAGGAATTAGGGTTGAGTTAGGCTGAACCTGTGAGAGTTGATGTGATGGCCACGTAGTAAAACGAAGAGTTCACTCTCTAAGATGGTTACATCACAGTATCTCATCAGGACGCAGATAGAAAAAGCAAAGGGATGAAAATGCTAGAGCAAAAGAAAGAAAGATTTGGTGAGACATAAGGTGTTGAGTTAGAATCTAAGCAAAAGACACAGAGAACAGGGACAGACAACAGGTGTCTCAGAGATTGTCTCCAGGTCCGAAACAACTTACACACATGAGAAAACAGAATGATTTCATATAGCTGGGCAGAAATGAGGAGTGCTCAGAGGGAAAAATAGAAAAGAGTTCCATTCAGTTTGATTCATGGAGGGAAAAGAGGGTCAGCTCACTGACAAGACAAAGAATCCAAAGTGGGGATCAGCACTGGTTTTCAAAGGTATTCCCACAGCTGGAATGTTTCTCGCTTTTCCCCATCACAACCACACACTTCACTGTGACTTAATTACATTATGTGAGATAGA